GGCACGTTGGCCCTCCTCCTCGGGGCTGTGCCGGTGGCTCTGCCAAATGCCCACCGTGATCGCTGCTCTCCTCCCCTTGGAGCTGAGCTCACTCTCATCTCTGCTTTTCCTTCCCTCTTGCAAATCTGGCAAGCCAGGGCCGATGCAACCAGAGCGTACGCTGTGAGCCAAGCCGGCAAACCCCCGTGTGCTGCTCCGGCTCCACTCCCTCTCTACTCCAGCCAGCCGGCACGCACGTTCACCGTACGTTAATGAAACGGTGACTTGGGAAAATGCATTTTCAGGAGCCACATCGGCTTTGCCTCTTTGCTGCGGTGTTGTGATACGGGGAGTGTGGGAGGGGAACCCTTTAAATACTCCAAGCATCCCCTAAAAGAAATGGCAGCTGTAGATATGGGCACAGCTCATATATTACAAGCGGCATGAGCTGCCAATACATTTTTTTTCCTTCTATGCACTCAGGTCGTCTTGTGACCTCTCCCTGCTTGATTTATTTGGCAGTTTCTCTCCGTGGGAAGGCAGCGGGATGGGTGTGTTACAGCCTATGAATGTTCTGCTCTATGCCAGCTTATTTGCATTCACTTTTATCTGATGAATATGCCCGGTGTGTCTCTAAATGTCTGGAGTCATTTCTGGTTGATGTAGTGCTACCTTGCACTGTGAAAATTCTTCTGTGTCATCTTTAAATAAAAATTTAGATCTGTCAGGATTGTTTTTCTCCCAAAGGAAGTGAAATTAGTATGAGATATTGTTTGGCTTATGCAGATGTATCAGGAATGTTTGCCATCTGATACGCTTGCGTGTAGATGAGAGCAAAGGCAGATTTTTTTTTTTTAACCACATGTAGACAACTCAGTCAGTATGATGAATGACTTTATTATTCTGTAAGGTGCTTATTATATTATGCTCCTCTTTGCCTTTGTTTTTAGGGAGAACTCTTTAACCACTTCAGGGATTGATTGCATTTGATTAGAGAGTAGTTTGTCTTTTGGATCCATTATCCTCGATGAAAGTCCGCAAGTTTATTCCGTTTTCTGATGCAGCTGGAATTGCACTGTGTGTATATCGTACGAATGAGGACCAAATGCAAAGTTATTTCGTAAGAGCCCATTTGAATTGCTGAGTTGCCTTTTCTTATAGAATGATAATACTGGATTGCAGTTAGGGGTGGAAAAGAGCCTGCGGGCTCATCCTGCCTGCAGCAGCTTTCAAATACGTCCTTTCCCTTCTGCGCCTTTCCTTTCAGCTCCTTCTTCCTTTGAAACTTGAAAAATCTGGCTCATCCTTTGAGGAAAAAAGAAAATTTTCACAGTTTGGTTGAACGTTCCTGTTGCGGTGGCCACAAAGGCTTCCCCTGCCTTCTGCCCCGGCTGGAGACCTTCTGCCCGGGAGATGGAGGAGTGGTGGGGAGTACTTCCCTTCTGGTCTCACGTAGCTGAGGGTGAGCCAGCTTTGGGAGGGGGGATAGGCTGGGTTACCTGGCAGGAGCGCTTGCAAGCCTCGCTTTTCATTGTTCTTTGAAATCATAACACCCTTTCTTTCTCCTAAACACAACCAACATGATTGTTCCCTGGCCAATGTAGTATCTCCGCTCTGAAACGATGACCAGACTTACGTGGGAAGTGAACGTACAGGCTGATGCTCCCCAAGTTTAATGTTACAGCATCCTCCTGCGAGTGTGGCAGGGCGATGGGGTGAGGATGGGGAGGAAGACCAGGTGGATAAGTGCATCCCGCTCCTCTGAACGGTTTCCATGAGCTCTCATGATTTAATCTCCTAAGCTTTTACTTAGGTTTTCACTTCTCCGTAGGAATGCAGCGTTTCTGAAGTGCCTGACTGACAGAGGAGGATTTAAGAAAAAAAAAAGGTAGAGCCGGCTTCCAGGCAGTTTCACTAATTGCAGCTTATTATAAATTTAACAGATGAACTGTCAGTTTCTTGAAGGGGTGTGATGACCACAACCTTTTCTTGGATTCTGCGCTGGCTATAGAAAAAGTTAACCTCTAAGGTGCTAAGCTAACGTAGTTCATTTCATTGCTCAATAAGATGTTTCTTGGTTTACAATTTGCAGGCTTCATTATTCCTTTCATCACTTCTTTGATAATATTGGACTGCGGTCTGAAAAATATCTTTGGTGTGGTTTTTATATATTTGTATTTACTCAATGGTTATTGTAGGGGGTGTGGAAGAATTTTATTCTTCTCGGAGCCTGCTTCCAGTGAATGAGGCTTTTGCCTTTCAATAAAATGGGTCATTTTATTAGTTTTTCCCCACAGATGTCCAATTTGATAGGCACAGTAGGACTGAAGTAATACTTTTCATCACTTGAAATTTCTGGGTATTTCAGAGCTGCTAAAATAAATTCTGTGACTTGAGAAGCTACACATTTGTAAGTAGTTCATCTGTCTGATGTAAGATTTTTAAAGAAGAAATTTACTTTCCGTAAAGTTTTTGGAAAGCATCCAGGTTTTTCTGGGTTGGTGGTAGCTTTTCCTCCTGTTCTTGTGACTGTATCATGCAATCCTTGTATCGTCATACCCCCTTTGCATTGTCAAAGCCCTACATAAAATCTTTGATTTTCTTTTAATTTAAATCTCTGAAATTGCACTTAGATTTTATATTGGCTGCGTTTCTGGCTTAGCCAGAGGAGAGTGCGTCCGGGCAGCTTTGCTTATACCTCTGCCTGTCAACTGGCCATCCAAAAAGATGTTTCGACCCTGAAAGCTGATGTCTGTCTGGTGCGCGTTGGCCAGCGCCAGTTGCAGCGTCACCTCTCCCCCTTTCTTCCCTGATTCTTCCCATGCAAAAAAACAATTCCAGGAGCATCAGCCACCTGGCCCTCCTCTGGTTTGGTCCTTTGGTGGAACTTTCAGTAGTAGGAAATGGCGGGAAATCGTATGTTTATTTGAAAGCGATGATGCAAAAAGAGGGAACCACTGAAGTTGAGCAATTTCTAAGAAAGCAAATGAAAGCATCAGCACAGAGGTCAGAAGTTAGGGAGGGGACAGAGGCCAGTAATGATCTTTCTCTGGTAAATTTAATTCATGCTTTTTGCTAAATGTAAATGATAGCTTAGGAAAAAAACTGCTTGGAATACATAGTAAATGATGTTGCCAGGATACTTCCCGATCATGTTAATTAAACTGTCCCACAGATTTGGCTTAATTACTGCATAATTTGCATATTGGAAATGATGGTATGCATTACTAAAGAAAGCTCCTATTCTCTTAGCAGAAAGAACACTGTACATGAATTGATTTCCAGGGAAGGAGTCTCTAGACTCATATAATGATGTATCTTGAAAATAAAATTAAGATTTTTGATAATGAACTGACAAATATCTCATTCCTTTTCGCAAGATTACATTTTATGCTTGTTCCACTAAGTTCCTTAGAGACTTCATCCCAACAGCCTTCCTCCTGTTGGCTGTTTCTTTAATTACAAGAACTACTGTTGCTGTTAAGGTTGCTGGTGGTGAAGCAGGTATTAGTTAACTTGTGTAAAGTGGCCCACGTTTGATACTGCATGTGCGTTGTTGGTGTTGTACTTCGCCACCCTCTCAAGTTAAACTCATTATTAAGCTATCAGTTTCTCCTTGTCTTGTTTTTTGTTGGGTTTTTTTTAGATTTCTGACATGTCTCAGGCATCCTACTTGTGGAGGCCCGAGGCCAAATGGAGGAATGCAGAAGTATCTCTCTGCTCTTCCAGTCTGAGGGCAGGTGTTGCTGGTGGCCACCCTGCTCGGAGGCCTCGGGCCACCCCGGGTGCCTGGCGGGGCGGTGGGAGTAGCCATGTGCCTTTGTAACACTGAAAAAAGAGGATTTTGCATCGGCATTTCTGCCAGGGTAATTTTATAGCTCCTGTCCCTGCTGCTGGTGTTTAACTGCAGGACCATGACAGCACTTTGGAAAAAGAAGACAAAACTTCAAAATTCCTGCATGAAGTAAGACAAGATAGAAACTGTTTTGTTTTGGGAAAAAATCTTCTGAATACAGCAATTTCCCAATTTAGACTGCTAATTGCTTTGGATGATATCGTTGCTAGGATATGCATTTCCGATGTGGCTGCTCCTTTTTAATTCTTTTTTGGTCTGTTTTTAAACAGGTGATCATAAACAGCACAATCACACCTAACATGACCTTCACTAAAACATCGCAGAAGTTCGGCCAGTGGGCGGACAGCAGAGCAAATACCGTGTTTGGTTTGGGCTTTCCCTCCGAGCAGCAGCTGACGAAGGTACCGGGGCTCACTGAATTTCCGCAAAGGCTGTCTTGTTTCTTATTAATGAAGAATTGCATAGACCCCTCTGACCTCTTTTGAGCTGCATGCTTCTGCAAGTCCCCTTCATCCATGCAAGTTGCCCATCTCCTATAATTACCCAGTGTCTGTATATACAGAAGCAGGCAGTATTGCAAACTTTATGGTCAAAACTATAAATTAAATCTGACCACTGACGATGGTACTAGCGAGGTGATCTCGACGGTATCTTGCCCAATGTGGCTGAAAGCATTTGTGTTTTCAGATGTTTACAGAAACAACCTGAACTCTGAAGTATTTTTTGACATCGCCTTGCCCTGTGTGCTCATTTCAGCTGAAAGCGGCACCAAAAGCAAAGGGAGCCACTGATATGCCAGGACTGTTCGCAGTAGGGCTGCCTGATGTCTCTGAAGGAAGCGAGTTGCTATCCCAGCCTCAGAAATGTGCATTTTGATGACTTGCTGCCGTTGGTAGCTAACCAAGGTAGAGTTGCCAGCCCCTGGGGCTTGCTGGTGCCCTGGTTTTGCAGATAACACTGCTGGTGGGGCGGTGCTCTCAGGAGCCTTGTAAACTGATCTGGGTTAAAATAATACTGCATTTTTGCATTTAAAAGGCATGTAGATGAGGCGCTTAGGGACATGGTTTAGTGGGCATGGTGGTGTTGGGTTGACAGTTGGACTCGATGATCTTGGAGGTCTTTTCCGACCTTAATGATTCTATGATTCTATGATTCTATTTCAGCAACGTGGTGTGATTTGCAGCCCTGACCCAAAGCAGTTTTATCACAGACCTGGGGGGGTGACAGTGAGTTGTGGCAGAGACGGGGGATGAGTAACCGGGGAGGTCTGACGCCAGGTTTGCTGGCAGAGCTGTGTCTCGGAGCTGCACCCCAAACGTGGGGTTGGTACTACTGCAACACTTGCCCAGACCAGAGACTGGCTACAACAGCAGGCTTGTCAAGTCTGGAGCTGCCTCTTGTAATGAATAACCAGTGGTTTGAAATACATCCTCTGTCATTAGATTAGTGGTCTCGCCAAGTGCTCATCAAGCAGCTGAGATGTTTGTTTGTTCATGCAGTAGAAAAACCCCTACTTATCTAACACATAGTTGACACCTGAAGCATGGCTACTTGGCGCTGGGTTTTGTCAGCTAACTCAGCATTGTGTCCTTGGGCATGGCACACAGTCTCTCGTGTTGCTGTCCCCTTGTGTGCTTGGATATGAAAAGAATCAGGAGAACAAGATGTTTCTTGCAGTGTCTAAAATAGCAAAGGCAGACCGTTGCAATAGAAGGAGGACCTTCAGTCAACTGAATTGTTATAGGAATTTATTTTACTAAGTCTGTCTTAATAAGTTATTGCAATTTCCAGAGAATTGCATTTTTTGCAAATATTTCTTAAAGGTAAAGCATATTTTACTTTTCACATTAAATTATTTTTGGATTTGGGATGTCCATAGCCAAAGGTGCCATGGCCATAATCTGCTCTTCTGGGATGCTAAGGCCACCCAACCAATCACATGCAAAACTGTTTTTTAAGAATGAGGTGCTGGTGCTGGTTATGTTCTATGATGCTTAATCAAGTGTGGAGGACTGCTCATTTCACCTGTGCATATTCTCCACTCCTGTGGCAAAGAGGTGTTCACAATAGCTAAAGAAGTAGTAGGGGAATATGGGAGGATTAAAGTGGACCTAGGGGAATAGTTTGTTTTGCGTAACAGATAAGCATGATACAGTGCAACCTTTGGACACCAAATGAAAGAATTAGCACCATTGGATAGTAATTTTTAATCCCGGATTACTGAAGTCACACCTCTGCAACGTGACAGGTGACCACATGGTACCTTGGTGCTGGCTGGGGTTAAACATGCACCACGCACCGCGTGGAGCAGGTGGTGCGGAGGCTGGCTCAGGAGACAAGAGGTATAACAAGGCACAAGGTACATTTGGAGGTCCTTGCACCCTAATCAGAGAGATTGTACCATATTCTCCAAAACTGTCCAAACACGTCCTTAGAATAAATTTAATGCTGCTCTCAGAAAGCAGCTCTTTAATGTTCATGTGGCCGGACTAGAGCCAATGTGAAAAACATGTCGTGTGGGCACAGGGGCCCCAGCACCAGCTGTGTTTCTCTCCAGATCGGTTTGCACGTCTGTTTGCACTTGCAGGATCTGTTGAAGAGCCCGCTGCCGATAATACAGCCTTCTACTTGCAGGAAAAGCTTTCCAAATCAGCAGAAAGGCTTTTTCTGGTCAGAATATCGAAGGGGAGCTTAAGGGGAGCACTTCTGAAAACGGCTCGAGATGATCTATTGCAAAAAAAAAAATCTGACAGTTTTCTACCTGGGAAATGTTAGAAAACCTGGTTTATTACCACCATGCAAAGCAATGGGACAAAGGTATCCTTTATCATCCGTGCTCCTCAGTTTAATTATTGAACCATTAGTACAAAAGATCAGAGATGGTGGAGAGATTACAGATGTGTAAGTGTGTTGGGAATAGTAAAATCAAGTTTCATTTTACGTTGATATCATTATGCTCTTATAAAAGATATAAACGAAAGCTTGCCAGTTTTACTGGAAATAATGGAAGCTTTTAGTCAGGAATTGGAAGGACACACTAAAACTCCAGTAAACCAGAGATCAATAGCCCTGGCTTTAACTAACTAACTAAATAAATAAAGCTGAAAAATGTCTGCTGAAAACAATGAATAATAATGAGACATGAGAAGAGGTTAGCACACGTAAAAAGTCTGCATTTTTAAGTATATTGGTTGGCCTAATAAAAGATATTGCCTCTTTCTAATGCCTTGCTTCTCTTGAGATACTTAAGCATTAATCCATACCTATAGGGAAAAGCAGTTCAAATTAAACATGAGCCATTAATGAAAACTGCATTCAGTGACCCAGTAACCTAATTACCATTCTCATTGACTGGGAGAATCCCAGGGCTTCAAGCTGATGTCCCACTCAGGGTCCTTTTCCCCTCTTGCAGGACTCGCTGACCCTCCTTTCCCCCCTTCCCACCCTGTGCCTCAAAAAGGTCTCAACACAGTATTCGTACATCGCTACAGCCAAATTGAAATAGGTGAGAATTAATGGTGTGCCGGTGTGCCTGGGTGTGATGAAGAGGCAGGGCTGGTGCTGCAAAGGTAGTGATGTGTTTTGCACGTGAAGCGGTTAAGTAAAATTTCTGCTATCATTCAGGATGCTTCGACGCAGACGTGCTGTCTGAGGAGCTGCAGGTAGTCAAGGGCATAGGGACAAAGACTTATACAGGTGAGAAACCCAGTAAACCCCGACTTTGCACATCATAAAGCAACTGCACCCAGCATCTGGGAAGCACTGGACTTTATTTCTATCATGCATGCACGTTATGTGTGTGGTATTTGCCAGGAGCTGTGTTTTAGGGGAGAGAAAGCTCGGAGCAGAGCCTGCCCCTGCTCCCAGCCGTCCCGGTCCAACCGGCTTCGGTGCTGGTAGCGCACTGGCTGTGCTAGAGCAAATTACCAGCCACTTTCTGGAGTAAATAGTCTTGTTTGCTGCCGATCTGCCTGGTACTGAGGGCTCATCCAGAGAAAACGACGGGCAAAGCGACGCGTGCCTTGTGGGTCATGGCACGGCGGTGCTCCCCAACGGGAACGTCACATCGCCCAGCCTTCTGCAAACCGAGAGGGTGATGAAATATTTATGAGACTGCTTTGGGTGAGAGCAGCTGTTTCATCTGTCTGATACTGGCGCAGTTTGTCAGTAGGAAACGTAAAATATTATGCCAGATCAGGAGCTTAAAATTTACACATACAAAATAATGCTTTTTAATGTGTAAAATGCTAAGAAGGTCTGTTTAAATATATATATATTTCTCCAGGTGACAAGCTGGCTGCAGATTTGAACAGCCTTTAAATAATTTGTGCAACGCACAGTAGCATCCTTGAGTCCCCATTAAATTTCACTGGCCAAGACTCATAATCAAACAGTGCTCGTGGGCTGCAGCAGCCTTAGGCTTCACAAGCGTTGGTAGCAGCAAATCTTCTCCATATTGCAGCTTAGTCTCACAGCTTCCTGGGGCATGGGAAGACACGTCATATAATCCATGATGGACTATTGGAGTGGTGTTCAGCTGGCGTTTCTCCTACGCCAGTCTTTTTTTTGCTAATTTTGGGGAACTTTGCCCGAGGACAAGGGTGGAGGAAAGGGAAGATGAAGGGAGTAAAGGTGGGAGGAGAAGGAGCATGACGATTTTTTTAGCTGGTTTTGGGTATTTATCCATGCCTTGCCCCTCAAGACCACATTTACCAAGTTTTCATTTACTAATCAGAAGATTATTTCACTTTTTAACTAGGAATTTCACATTTTAAAAGCACTCCCTATTGTTGCAATGGTTTGATAGCTCGAAGTCAACTTAGATCTTGGAGCTGGCACATGATTTTGTAGTATCAATTATTTGTTGCTTGTTTATGTTTGGGGCAGAAGAAATCAGTTACTTGAGAGAAAGCATCTCTCTAATTTCTGCCAGTGATTAGACACTGTGGCCGTGCCGTCACTCTCAGAGACGGCCTCGGGATCTGGGTAGCTTCAGAAATGCCTGGTCTGCCGCTGTAGCAATTAGCGTTAGTGATGCTACACAAGTTTGGGCTGTCACCACCGTGTTGCTGCACTCAGAAGAGTAATCAAGTGAAAGGCTTTAATTTCATAACAAGCCAAGTGATCCTCTGTAGCTTTCAAAAATAGACTGTTAGTAAAATCTAGCAGGTATTAATTAGCTAAGAATGAAAAAGAAGCGGCAGCAGAACTCTTTATGGATGACTGTTGGCGAGTGTGTGGGGTAAACAAAAACCAGAGACAGTCTTTCACCACCATTTCCATTACAGCCGTCTTTACGTTTGTAACGACAATAATAATGAAGGGTAATATTTTGACTCTTAAAGCTGAAGTTCTGTCACTAAGATGGTGAAAAATTCAGTTATTTGTACTTGTTTCTAAAAGCAAATGTGTTAAATACGTGTGTTGGTAAACTAGAGACATGACTGAAATCTATTGTGCGACGAGATCATTATCAGTTTTATATTGAAGATTAGCTTTGCTCAGTCATATGCAATTTTTTATTATGGAAATGTGGAAAAATGTCATTTTCTCCTCACATAATTTTTCACGGCAGTCTCCTGCGTGCCTTATGAAGATAGTTGCAAAAATAAAATTTGATAGATCGCTTCCAATTCTTTTTGTCTTTTCATATTTCATATAGTCCATGAAGAACCCTCATAAATTTTTCATGCTTGCCCGTAAAGATTTATTGTAAAAGAGAGACTCAAAACAGCCCTTTACTATTTGCAAGAAACCCAAGTGTAGAGCTTACTGTTGATACAATATTTGAGAAATTATCAGTTGGTTATAGCTGTTTTGTCACCGCAGGAGATGCATTTTGTGTAAAGTTGGAGTTAAATCACTTAAGGCGAAAATGTAATGTAGTTGTTCCTAATGAGCCTCATGGTGCTACAAAGGTAATCAAGTCGTTTGTGTGTGTAGTGACTGCACATGCCATCAGATAGCAACTCTTGCCATCGGAGAGCACATACTTTGCATATGCAATTTCAGCTGTTGTATAGAAAACAGCTGGATTTGAGAGCTCGATCTTCATTCATAAGCATCGTCACAGATTGTAGTCTACACCCAAAATTTCACTCGGCTTTGAGAATGTGCTCGTCCCTGGGATTTATGAATGATGTATGTGCGTTTGTTGGAAATGTCCATGTGTGTGTGTTACACAAAACACAGGTGCCTCCACATATAAATCCAGTTTTCTCTTAGACCAGTTGGAGAAGATTTGTTTTATCCATCTTTATTGTCCCGGTATTTTACTGAGAAAGAGCATGCTAAATACCTGCTGTAAATCCAAAAGTTAGAAGACAAGATTAGTAAGTGGATAATGATTCTTCCCATTCTTTGACTATAAAATGTGATGTGTGTTCATGCTCTTATTTACAATTTTGTCATAAGTGTTCTGAATTATCTGAGGATATAATGGCAGTCCTTTTATTCACAAACCATGCAATAAAATAGATTTATTTATATGCACTTTTTCCTTTCTAGCGTTTCAAGTTTCTCAAAACACAGGCAAGCAAGAGCAAGCTGCTTTAGCAGGAAGACAAAGTTACCCATTCTTATACAGGATACATCTTAATTAAAAAAAAAAAGAAGTGTGCCTTTTCTTTCATCATTACAATCCTCCTTTTAAAACTTTAAACACTGTTTAAAGTGTTTAAAGCCCTGCAACCCTGACTGGCTGTGCTAACACTTGTACGTCAAAACTGCCAGACTGGCTTCGGGGCAGATGACCTACAGCAACTTGTAGAGATTGGGATCATTGCTTTTCATCTTCATCTTTCCTTTCCCCTGCCTCTCCCAGCTTGATATAACCCTCTTACAGGAAGCGTTCAAGCCTTTCCCTGAAGTCTTCTACCTTTATTTTTGCCAGTAATTAGAAAAAATAGGAAATTAGACCAGAAAAGCTGTGTTTTCATATGGCCCCATCGTACCTTCAGATCTACCTCTTTCTACTTTTTTCTATGTCCTGATAATCCCTTGCTCGCATCCTGCAGATACCTCGTGAGCTCATTTGCATTCTTTAATTTAATTGACTTGCTCTTTAGGAATAGAAGACATTGATTTTCTTTTTTAATCCAAACATATGTCTTTTATGCCTTAATAGACTGTCAACATTGAGTGAAACAGAGGAGGGGAGGAAATAAACAAACCCAAATCAAACCAGAAGATGCTAACAGCTCCTTTTTTTCTCCGTGGGTTTTTACTGTGATTGGCCAGAGCTGTAGGGGTGTCCCTCTTTTAGAAACACCCCCATTCCTTTCGAAAGAACCTCCCTGCCAAAGAATGAACATGTTTTTTCTTGCCAAAAATTTTAAATTATCAGAATTTTGGAGATCTATGAACCATATAAATGTAGTAATCTGAACAGTTTAATAGATGATAAATAATTTTAATAAATATATTTCATGCTTTTTCCAGTTTGCAGAGAAATTCCAAGAAGTAAAAGAAGCTGCCAAACTAGCAAGGGACAGATCTCAAGAGAAAATTGAGACCTCAAGCAATCATTCCCAGGTTTGTAATTTAGCTTTAATACCTGTGTGCATACAGGATAAATGATGTAAAGTTAAATTTTCTAATGGACTATACCAGCTTCTGGCAGCAAGCTTAAAGTGTATAAAATGAAGATTGCCGAAGGTAATTGTCGCCTGCTGGACATTAACATTGTCAGAGGAATATTTTTCATCCACCCATGCTCTTTGCCTTCACTTATATCTAATTTTTTTCAGCAGTTCTTGAGCTGTTACAGCTTTTTTAATAACAGGGAAAGCTATACATCCTTTGATTTGTACTGTTACACATACTTTGGGTCACTGGAAAGTAAGTCAGAGTAGTGCTTCGGCAGACAGTAAATGAGATTCATCGAGATACTTCTTTTTGTCATCTGCCTAATCTGCTTCGGCAGGAGTTGGGTTTGCCGATGGCGGGACTGACTTTGTGGCCACAGTGGTTCGGTGCCGGGATGTGATGAACTGAAAGCTGCGGGGTGGGAACAGAGGCAGTGCTTTAGCGAGGGGACGGAAGGAGCTTGTGTTGCGTATTTGTACAATGCACTTTTCTAGACAGCACACCCTGATATAGCCAAGCGCCTCCGCGCCCGGGGAGATCTGGGTTTCTTGCAGATTGAGGAAATTGAGTGTTGTTCCTGTCTCTCTCTATGTTAGACTGTAATTTCATATGCATTGCATTAGGTAAGAATG